GCATAATTTATGGTCAGCTACCATATTTCATGGTGAGGATGATGATGATGATGGTCGCGGATGTTGCAAACTACAGTTGAAATTTTCCAAATAATGGATTTTGTAAAGAAATGTGGAGAAGTGGTAATAAATAAAGGTTATATGGTACAAAGTCCATAATCCATACGTCTATTATCCGGAATGATCTATAATCCGGACCTCAAAGGCTACAAAAGTTTTTTTTTGTATGCTTTACGCATGCGCATAAAGAATGAGCGCACATACATATGTATGCTCTACGCATGCACGTGTTGAAAGAAATGTTTGATAAAGTAAACAAATAAATATTAACCTTTTTTTTATACCCTTTAGATCATAATTGCTCTTTATTTCATAAATTAGTTTCATATTTTTAATTGTATAATTCCTGCATGCCATGTTACCAGATTTAAATTGATGATCTATAATCCAGAAAATAAACCTAATTCGGAATCGCCGAAGTCCAGGTCCAGATTACAGACTATGTACTGTATGACAGAAGTTTTTCATTGCAATGTCAATGCTCCAATCATCAATCAATTAACAGATTGCGGAATCTGTAGCTTAGTTCTAGATCCAGAAAATACCGCAACCGATAATGAAGAAAGTGACAGAGAGATTACAAAAAATGAAAAATTTTGATTGACGAGTTAGTCTGAATTCTCAACGCAGCAACTACAGTACTTAACAGTGGAACTTTGTAATTGAACAAGAAATTATGTCTGTCTATAGAATTGAAGAGAGCGTATTAGCACAAAAAACAAAGCAACTTAATTCGCATTCAAAGAAATATTTAATAAAGCAAACAGACAAGTATTAAGCTTTCGTAAATTTTGATACCTTTTAGATCATAAATCACAATTTCATATTTTTAATTTTATAATTTCTACATGCTGTCTTACTAGATTTAAACTGATGATCTAATATTCGGAAATATCCCAAATCTTTCGGTGAGTCCGGATCTCGAACTTTGTACCAGCTTGCTGAGTTGGTGAGATATCTCCAATTCTATTTCCTGAGTTGATAGAAGCTACAGTGGGTACTGCTTTTTATTACCGTGTCCGTTCCAACCTCCTTTTTTTTTTTTTTTTTTTTTTTTTTTTTTTTTTTTTTTTTTTTTTTTTTTTTTTTTTTTAAAGCAGGCTGCATGTAGGATTTCTCTTAGGTTAGGGATAAAAATTTTGGACATTTTCAAATAAGATATAAAAGAAAAAAATTTTTTAATTCTTATTTTATTTAAGATTTCAGTAAATTTTATGAATAAAGTGTGCATGTACCTGAACCTCTCTCTCCTTGCATACGGCTCTGCTGTTGAGATCAGGCATGAAAATTTTCCGTGTTTTCGTGGAATTTTGCTTTTTTAAACATCATCCAGGCTGTTTCTGAGTTCGATGCAGAACCATTGAGAAATCGCGACCGGCAAATGTGTGTGGGGGGGGGTAAACTGAAGACACGCTCACTCTCTCTCTTCCTCTTTTCTTTGTAAAAAAAATTTACATCATGCCAGAGATCGCATAATACGTTGTTTCACATCAAGGCGAAGTAGGTGGGGCTTATGTGGAAAGGCGGGACTTTCCACATAAGTGCGAATATTGAATCAAAGAAGAGCAAGCAACCGTCAAACTTGAGCTGACTTCAATAATTTCAGCAATTGGTGCTGGCGCCATCTGTTGGACATACGGATAACCACTTGCATTCTCCAGTACACAAAACTCAATGTAAAAATTTAAGGAATGCTCATAAACTGTACAAAGAAGAGCTAGAGATAAAAAAAAAAAAAAAAAAAAAAAAAAAAGGGCAATTAAACATTGCAGAAAATAAAAAAGTATTATTGAATTGTATAAAAGCTGCTGAAAAGAAATTGAGACTAGCTCGCAAACAGATATCAGGAAAGTTGGCAGCAAAAGTAGCAAAAAAGAAAAAACTTTTTCGCTAAAAATTTTTAATCAGGATCAAGTGAGACTGAGACAAAATAGTTATTTTTTATATTCTTTCTTTATGTTATTTTGTAACTATATTATCTCACATGACTACTTTTTCTGGTGTTATATAAAGTACTGTTTATTGAATTAAAAGTGAAGATAATTGAAAGCTATAGTAACAGTTATACATATATATATATATATATATATATATATATATATATATATATATATATATATATATATATATATTTTACTCTAAAACTTGTCATTGCCTGAAAATGGGCAGTAATATCTAACATAAATATGCATATTAGTGTGTTGTAATGTTGTGTACAGTATTCATGTATCAACTGTTAAATTAAGTTACATAAAGAGCATCTTAAAGAAGGTTAAATCATCACAATCTCTTGGTGATTTACTGTTTTTTTTTTTTTTTTTTTTTTTTTTTTTTTAAGATAAAATTAATAGCAAAATAGTAAGTACATGTAGTCAAAGATCTTTAATCCGGACCTCAAAGCTACAAACTTTCTGCGCATGCGTCAACGCATAATGCGCATATTCGTTCACACATGCACTTAATACCTTTACACATGCGCGTTTAACATATAACAGACGGTATAAACTAAGCTGAAATTATCTAATTATCTATTTCAGTTAATGTTGCAGATTGCTTTGTTCCTTAATCTTCTAATTAGATCCTTCTTATTATTTTTTGCAGACCGTTAGAGCAATTTTATAAAAGTAAGCTTGAACTTTCGATTATATCAAATAGAATTTCCGATATATATTTGCTAATACGTAAAGGATCTAAAGCGAAAGTATGTTTCCAGAAGATTTATAGTAAAAAAACTAAGACGAACAGTCAAAAGTCATTAATTCGGACATCCATAATCCGGACCTCAAAGCTACAAACTTTCTGTGCATAGGCGTTTATGCATGCGCGTAAGATTTTTACGGTTGCACAAATGATGTTTACGCATGCACGTTTAATGTATAACGGACGGTATAAGCTAAACTTATCTAATTCAGTTCATGTTGCGGATTGCGTTGTTGCTTAATCTTTGAATTGGATCCGGCTTATTATTTTTTTGCAAACTGTTAGAGCAATTTTATAAAAGTAAGCTTATTATGTCAAAAAGAATTTACGATTCTGGAGCTGCCAAAGGACCTACAAAGCGAAAGCATGTTTCGATGTCCATCAAACAAAAAGTGGAATTGCTGCAAAAAAATGGATAAAGACATATCCTTTGTTTCTCTAACCATTCCGAAATCTATTTATCAATTTCACGCTGCTCTGCGGGGGGGGGGGGTATGTCGCGGCGCGCATTTGACCTGGAAGTTGATCTGTCAGCACTATCCTTATCTTCAGGGCAGATGTTTTTATTTTATTCGGCTTATAATTCCTTACTAAATGTAGTATTTCATCTCGATGTACTCCGTCTTTGATATGATTTAAATCAAATTCTTCGTCATTATAAATATCACGAATACACATCAAATAGTTTTCTGGTTGCATTTTTTAATTTTGACTATGCGTAATGTATGCTTTACGCATGCGCGCATTGAAAGAAATGTTTAATAAAGTAAACAAATAAATATTAAGCTCTTTTTTTTTTTTTTTTTTTTTTTTTTTTTTTTTTTTTTGTAAATTTTGATACCCTTTAGATCATAATTGCTCTTTATTTCATAAATTATGGTTTCATATTTTTAATTTTATAATGTCTGCTTGCCATCTTACCAGATTTAAACTGATGATCTATAATCCAGAAAAATCGATAATCCGGAATCGCTGAAGTCCCGACGAGTCCAGATTAAAGACTTTTGACTGTATTATTATTATTATTTATTTGAACCATTTGGCATAACAGAATTGTTGAAAGATCATTCAATTTTTTAGTCAACTAATTTTGTTTGATAACCTATATCTTTTGTCTCAAATACAATTAAAAAAAATTTTTATCAAGTAAGCTTTTGTTTAAAATTCTTAATTACTGAACTAAAAGGAGGGAAAAAATATCTAGTTTAATGGGAACAATAGATTTAATAATAAAAGTATAAATTATTAACTTTAATATGAATCAAATTTATAAATGAAATATTTGTATGGTTTTATACAATTTTAATTCAAAAAATCTTCTAAGCTTTTAATTCATGAAGTGTTAATCTATAATCTAAAGTTCTCAGCTATATATATATGTATATAATTTTTTCCCTAAAGGCTCGAAAAGGACCATTAAGACTCGGAAATGGAATCTTTCCACTTTTCAAATTGTTGCCTCGAAATATTACCAGCCTTTCATTTTTTTAAAGAAATTAAATAAAGAAGAATCTACGTGTATGTATGTTCCTTACTATGTGAGGAAGCAAAAGCCATCAAATTTTAAATAATATAGCCATTCACTTCAACCTGGAAGTCCAAATCTTATGTTACATATTTTGTAAAACTTTAATGAATTTTTTATTGGTATACTGAATGATTTGAAAGTGAACAGTGGCAACACTCTACAGAATAAAACATTTTTATCTGCAGTGGGTGAGATTGCTTATGGGAAATTCTAGAGATATGCTTTTTTGAAATATTTTGCGATTTTACTGTTGAATTTTATGTGGCATGAGTGCGAAGAATATGATAACTAATAAATGAAGTTGAAACAAAAAATGCAGAAAAAAAAGTTTTGCAAGCCTCTTACTTAGAAAACTGAACATTGATGTGATTAACTGAGAAAAGACTGGGGGAAAAAAATAGAAAAATGGTATGCCATTGCATTGGGAATTCCAAATATTTGCTGCTTTTAAAGTTTTTGTAATTTTGCTTTTGAATTGTATATGACATAACAGCTGAGAAAATGGTAGAAAAGTGCAGAGAAAAGCTAAAAAGACAAAAAGGAATGGGTTTGCAGGAGTGAGTGTAACGGCAAAGTGCAAGAATAAACAAACTTAATAAATTCTTTTAAGCAAATGTTAAAATCTAAAATTTTTTTTTTTTTTTTTTTTTTTTTTTTTTTTTTTTGAGGATGTAAAATATATCTTTATTGAAACTTTATTATATTTCTACAGATATTGCTCAGGAAACTGGTATCAGTGCACTGGACATAATCAGTACTATGAAAGAACTTAACATGATCCAGGTGAATTCTGAAAATAAGTAAGTTTTCATATTTTTTCTCATCAGATTTTTTATTATGAATTTTTTCCTCTAATAATTCTTCTTTTAATATGAAGTAGTTTTCACAATTTTAAAATCAGTTGACTAATTTAATGGTGTTGTTCTGAAATTCACCAAGAGTGGGTCTATAGCTCTTATTTCAGTGTCAGTTTTCTTAAATCCTTTAGATTAAATTAGTTTATTCTTTCATGACTACTATACTAACAGGGCATTATCATCCTTGGACTGTGGCAAGTTATTTGTTCTGAAAAATGTTACCATTCCTCACAGCATAATAATATATCTAATTTATCTGCCAAGTTAAATTGTATGTTTAATAAATGTTGCCATTCCTCACAGCATAATAATATATCTAATTTATCTGCCAAGTTAAATTGTATATTGCATATGAAATAAGCAATATGTGTGTTTCAAAATAAGATATATGTTAGATATAAGAAAATTCTAAGAAACGATTGGTGACCTCAAAATTGGTTTTTCTAGATTTTGTGTTCTTTCCCTAAATTCATCTCTTCTCCCAAATTTGAGATCTTTCCATGTTACATAACACTGCTTTAAAAATGGAACTAAAACACAGAGTTAACCAGTCACAGATTAACTGTACTTAGTACCTAATCTAGTATAAATAGCTACTAACTGCTTAGTCTCTCTCTTGTTTTTGCTTCTTTACCTGCTTGCTGCATGTCTCTCAGCCCCTGCTAGCTATTCAACATTATTTAAAATGTAATTGCATATCTAAATTTGTGGGGTGTGTCTCTACCAGTTATAAAGATATATGCTGAGAAATTCGTGATCCAAAAATAAATGAAGTTTAACTGTCAGGCCGGTCGTGCTTGTTTTTTTTTTTTTTATTATTATTATTATTATTATGTTTTGTGACGGAATTGCATCATTTTGAGATATAATGGGCTATAGGAAAGCGAGATTTTACTCTATGCACTCCATTTTCAAATCGTCATGAAACGTAAGCACTTAGATATTTTTACGAACTTAAAATAAATTTCGTTGTTTCAATAAATCGATTAAATACGAATTTATTTAACAAAGTGAGCTTAACACATTTTCAACGGGATATTTTCTAAAAAAGTTTATTTTAAAAATGTACAGTTTATTTTTCTTTGATTTTTGGACACGTTAAACATTTCATCCTTGCGACTGCTTTTTACAAAAAGTAATTTTGGAAAACTGATAATATTTTGTACTTTTAAAAAAAAGTTTAAATGAAGCTTCCGAGTACACTTCTCACATCTCACATCTTTAAAAATGTGATTTTGGCAACAATTTTCCTGTCTTATTGTTGTTGATAGATTTTTGATGAAATCGCATCATTTTGAATAGTTTCATTCTTTTAGAAATATGGGTTTGGCAACAATTTTTCATCGTATTTCTTATGTCACTGTTTTTAAGAGATTGGCATATTTCATTGTCATTTTTTTATATATATAATACATTTTTATTGATGTTTTTTATAAAGTTGTTTTGCAGAGTAAAATTGTGCGCAGAATGTTTTTGTTTTTTGAGTTTCTTTCATGTTATTTTTTGCTTATTTCACTGTTTGTAAGATATTGAAATGTTTTGCATGATTTTTTTTCTTCAACGGAAAGTTGGTTAATTTTTTTATTAGGATAATTAATATTTGTGTTAAGGGCTTAATTAATATTTGTGTTAAGGGCTTCGTTTGGCTTATTTCATTGTAATTTTTGGTGCTACTTTGGTAGACGGTTGCAAGGATTTTGGCGATTTTTCTTTTGGTGAGTAATACGACTTATGGTAAACTTATTGCTGGATAAGTTATTTATGGTAACCGATACTTTTTTGTCATTTTATTTTTAAAATAATGTGTTTTCTTATGCATAAATTCCATGTTTTAAATATTATTTAATGATTATTTAAATAATTTTAATTCTATGCGTGATGTAATCAGCTCCCTGACTGGTTATGAATTTGGCATTAACGAGCTGTAATCAGTCCTTGTTGGTTATTGAAATGTTTGTGCATTACCGCGCCATTTTAAAAATTTTATTATTCATCTCTTCAAATTTCTCAGATTTCAAATGGAATGGATATGTCCGATTCGAAGATGAATGTTGTTATTCAAAGATTAATGTCAATAGTAAGTACCAAGAATTATTGGTATCGGAATAAAAAAATTGCCCTTTGAGACCTTATTTTGGCCAGCCTGGCTTTCCTATTCAAAGATTTATTTATAAATTGTTAATAGGGTCAGAGGAAATTTATTTTAAATTTTTGTAGAAAACCTCGCTAATTGCTTCTTCAATGAAGTGCGAGAGATGTGGATCACAGATAAAGATCATTAGAAGTTTTTTTTTTTTTTTTTTTTTTTTTTGTGGTACTTATCAATATGCGACTGGTAATATACTTTAAAAAAAGGTAAGTGCATAATTTTCTTTTACTTTATAATTGTATACTTCAACTTTTATTAAAAAATTAATACGATATTTTCAAAAATTCCTGAGATATTTATTGCCACACATGTTTTAATGTTAAATAATTAAATCCTATAAAACTTATTCTAAAGTATTTAAGTTATATTTTAATTCTTTAAAATGTTGGTATGATGTTTTTAATTCGATATTCAATTTAAGTAATATTTTAATCCAATTAAATGTTGGCGCAATGTTTTTATAGCGGTGTTTTTATTCTATTATATGAAAATAATTTAACCTTACTTTAGCATTTTATACTCTTAGTAAATGTATTTATTTACATTTGCCAGCCATCTTAAAAAATAATGTTTTCAACAAAAAATTAATCCATTATTTTTAACGATGTTTATTTTTTTAAAAGTTTCCAATACTTTACTATATGCGTAAAATACGTAAAAACAGCATTTTTCAAGATGGCTGATGACTGTAAAAACTGCACCAATGTAAATCGCCAAAAATCCGTGCAACCATCTACCAAAGTAGCACCTAATTTTCTTTTCTTGAAAATATAAGATAAAATATCATTAATTATACTTTGCTTTTCAGAATTTTTTTGTTTTTTGTATTCTTTTATGTTATTTATTGCTCATTTCACTGTTTTTAAGATATTGAAAAGTTTTGAGTGATTTTTTTAGGAAACTAAGTTCTTTATACCATTTTAGTTCTTAAGATTTTGCAAAGGGGAATTGGTTAATTTATTTATTAGGATAATTAATATTTGTATTAAGGGATATTGCTTATTTCATTGTAATTTTGTTATACGTAATAACGTATTTTATCAAGTTTTTCTGCAGAGTAAAATTCTATGCAGTTTTTAAATTTAACGTTTGGTGTTCCTTTCACACATTTAAAAGCCAGACGAAAGCTGACAGCGAAGCTGCTAGTATGTAATATGTTCTTGCTATTATTACTTATATATTGTAACATATATATATATACAGTACAAAGTCCGTAATACGGGCGTCCATTATCCGGAATAATCTATAATCCGGACCTCAAAGCCACAAACTTTTTTTTTTTTTCTCTTTGTATGCTTTACACATGCACGCAATGCACTTACGCATACGCATTTAGCACAAAAAACGAAGCAACTTAAACAATTTACATTGAAAGATATGTTTAATAAAGTAAACAAATAAATATTAAGTTTTTTTTTTTTTTTTTTTTTTTTTTTTTTTACTTTTGATACTCTTTAGGTCATGATTTCTCTTCATGCATTTACGCATGCGCATTTAGCACAAAAAACGAAGCAAACAATTTACATTGAAAGAAATGTTTAATAAATTAATCAAACAAATAAATGTTAAGTTTTTTTTTTTTTTTTTTTTTTTTTTTTTTTTTTTTTTTTTTTTGTAAATTTGATACCCTTTAGATCATAATTGCTTTTTATTTCATAAATTACGGTTTAATATTTTTAATTGTATAATTTCTGCATGCCATCTTACCAGATTTAAATTGATGATCTATAATCCGGAATCACCGAAGTTCCGACGAGTCCAGATTACAGACTTTGTACTGTATGTATGTAATAATAGCAATATAAAAACGGAGCAGTGTTGATGTGTAATACCTAGATAAGATAGGTCATCGATCCATATTGAAGAGGAAGAAATCTGATTGTGTGGTATGCTAATATGTTGAGTTCATAATATATAAGAAACTTGGCAGTTGAGGCAATTTTAATTCCATTTTTATTTGCAGTTGACATTTGTGGCCACAATCACTTGGCACTCTACTCGTGCTTATTCAAGAACATTTACATTTTTGATATTGTTTCAATTTTACTTATGTCATATTTTAGAAGCACAATCGCGATGCCTGAGTGGTAGGGCGGTAAGAAGACACCAAACTAGATTTAGCCAGTTAACATCTTTATTTGCAGGCACACTAAAATAATTCCTTGTAGACAATATACTCTTCAGTCATAGCAATTACAATAGTTCTATTATGCACAGGTAAAAAGATGCGATGTCATTTCAGACAGGGAAGCAGAAGCGACGCAGAGTTGTTTTTATGTCAGGAGAAAAAGGGAAGTGTAATGCTCATGACTCAGTATTTATACTTTGTAGGTGCTGAAAGTATTCTGAGGTATGATTGGTCGATATTAGTTACCTTTTCAAGCAGTGTGAAATAATTTGAAATGATCTCGAATTTGGAAGAACAGATGAATTTATGGGGAAGATCGCCAAATTTAGAATGTTAATTTTGAGGTCACCGATTATTTTTTAAAGCAGCCATCATATTTTGTTATATCTTACACATATATATAATAATTAAAGAAGTTTTAATTTTTTAATTGTATCTTACTGACAATTTAGAGTATATCTAGTAAATAATTTTCATAAGTATTTGAATTAATATAATGAATAAAACGTGTTCTGATGTTATGATTATACTTCTTTATTGAGTAGTCATTTTAAAAATAATTATGTAAAACAGGCGCAGATAATAAATAACATTATACACAAAATATGCATCGTATGATTTAAATGTATATGTATAACCCTAATGTATCAACTTTTTGTTTTATGTTGTATTTTGCACCATTGTATGTTTGTTGCTTTGTAATTGTTAAGTAATTTCTTGGCTGAAATACTTGAAATGATCTATCATATGCTTTTTTTGTGTTATAAACCATCATGTTAGATCATTGTATATAAATTCTCTATAGCTATAATAAATGTAACAGAATAATAATAATTAAAAATAATTTGAGGTGCTATATCCATTATATGCATTTATAGGTTAATTATATCATTAAGTAAGAAAATATTAGACGAACATATGGCCAAAGTGTCAGCAAATCCATATAAACGAATTGAGCTAGATCCAGAATGCCTACGTTGGATACCTTTAGTGACGAATCAGTTGTGCTCTGATAAGGTATGTCATTTAATTTTTTCTAATGTACAATTAATTTAATTCCCGATTTATGTGATTTCCTAAGTATGTCATTACTTGCAGAAAAGAATATGCAATCCTTTTTGTATGGATTCTTCTTATACAGAAATTTATTGCATGCAAGACATTTTGATTATTTTGATTAAAATGAAATGATGATAATATGTTTCTTTTTTATGTCATCTAGCAGGGTCAGGGTGGCCGCACCCAGCAGCAAAATCTTTAGAATTTTATTATAAAAGCTTGTAGCAGAATTTTGGAGCTACAGTGTTAGCTCCAAATGGCAAGAAGGCTATTGTCAGCTCTGTATTCATATTAAGACATCTTTTGTAGTTAAGGCGCTACCAATAGAGAAGTATATTGACTCTAAGAAAATCAAATAACTAAAATGCTAAAATATATATTAGTTATTTTTATTTGTAGTGTTTGATTAACAGGAACTCGCCACATATTGCTAATTTGAAATATGTGATTATTTTGAAATAATCAAGCACTTTTTCGTCTGCCAGCAGTTCCCACCAAATATCCACTGTTCAGGAATGCATCTTGCATTATTCTTTTGACTTGTATATATGTTTTTGTCAATTTCAGTGATTATTCAGTGGCCTTTCCCCATGCACATCGCATGATTTTTCACTTGTTCATAGTGATCCATTTCTAAATATTCCTTTCATCATTTCAATGAAGCCATTTCTGCCATAAATAAATGTCAAAGATCTTAAAAAATTAAATCTTCATAAATGGAATGCTGGATCTTAATGAGTACTCTTTTTGCTGCAACAGGTAGAAATGTTAATCTCTCTCCAAAATACAGCTTCTTTTGTAATTTTTCGTAGAATTTGCATTAGTTGGTAAAATGCTCCTAAAAGGAAAAAATACTATAGTTTGTTCCTTCATCATAGAGAAATCCCAAATTTATATCATAGTTAAGCATGTTTGAATCCAGCTATAAAAGTGAAGCAACAATAGTTAGAAATCAGAATCTGTGCAGAAAATGACAAGGAATGGTTGCATTGCCATTTAATTGCAACTGAAATAGTATTTGGTGAAATATCACTTGTCTTCAGCTTTCCCCTAGTCAGAACTTATAAATATGTTTTAAATTCTGCAGTATTCTTAAAATAGATTTTAAAAAAGAATTAATGCACTAAAAAAGGCACCCTGCTGATTAAGCAATCAAAGCATGCAGCCCATCCATTGGTAAGATTCAGTAAATACTGCATCAGTTTTTAATAAATGATAAAGGTCTCTTTCCTGTAATAATTTTAATAAAAAAAATTGCAGTTATTGCATTTAAAAGTGTGGGGTTTCTTTTTTTAGCAGGGAAAGATTGCTTATGAATCTTCAGCAACCAGTTCATCAGAAGAAAGACAGTCTAATACAGGAAATTTTGGCAAAGTTCTTGTAATTCCCTAATTCCGTAATAATTGCAAGAATAGCTTCAAAACTTTTTCAGCCTTTATGCTTTCATCGTATAAATTAAACTAGATACAACTACAAAAGATGCCTTACCATTACCATGTGTTCCATGTTGTTGTCTGTGTGATCAATAAAATTATAAATGTAAAATGTTTTTGTCCCATATTACCAAGATTAACTCTTTTGTTACTTTTTCATGTTATCTCTCTAAATGTAGTTCTAAAAGAATTATAAATCCATGAGATTGAGATTCAGAAGGAAAGGAAATGGTATGAAAAAACATTTTAAAGAGAAATATGTTTAAAAAAAAATTCTGATGTGTCACAAAATTCTGATTCAAATGACTTCCTTGTACAGAATATTCAATTATACGCAATTTTCCTGCATTTCATTTAAACATATTCAGTTAACAGTGAACGAATTTTGAATTCAATCTACTTTGTCGATAGCACATAAACCACATTAGAATAAATGCACTCTTTAAAGTTTACTATATTTATTTACCATAGCAACACCTCGGAGCTAGGTTCACTTAACAGCGCTACGTCTCATTCATTTTGTAACTCCACAAGTTCTATTCAAATACTGTAATAAATCTAAAATGATATCTAAAAGAAATTAAACAAATAAAAAAGAAAGTTTTTCACAGAGGATTCAGCGCTGCTTATCTAATGCGCATGCGCTACTAATTAATTCAGTTCTCACTTTGCGGCAAGGTGAAAATGCATAAAAATTCAAAATATTTCCATTAAAAATATAATGATATAGAAAAACATAAAACACCAAGTACAGTTAAAACAATTTTTTAAAAAAATCTTTACAGTTAAAATAACAGTTTCGATGCAAAAACAAGCTAATAACTTAAATGATAATTCCAGAATGAATTTACATAATTTGCAATAATAAAAGATGTTACTTTGTTGTTACGAGGCTTAGTTTCTCTAGATTGGCAGCAAATCCACTGTTCTGCTAAGTTTTAAAAGTAAACAAATATGTCTGCTATGGTAATCAAAAATTAGGATTAGCTACATTTACAACTTTTAAATTGTTGATAATTCTACAACTATAACATGCAGGTTAACTAAAGGCATAAAAATCTTAACCAAAACAGCATAATTCAATCATTTTTAAAGCAAAAAATTGCACAATTTACAAACATAAAGAAACCGAGCTCATTGAGCTGAGTAACACAGAGTGGAAATTTAAATCAGTTTTATAATTTGTTTCGGGAAAAAGAGTCTTTTATTCTGTCCTTACGTACAAATATCACGCAAAAACATGGTTAAATTGCATTCAATAGCAGTCAAAATGGGTATTTTCGCTGAAATATGATGCCCGAAATTTTTTGCTATTACAGTACTTTTTTTTTTTACTTCGTCCAAGGAAGTAAAAAAAAAACTAAGGGAACAATAAAGTCAACTCTAAATAAAATTTCAAATATGTAAATTTACTTTTTCCCAAAATAATTTTCAGTATGGTGTTTTTTTGGGGGGTGGGCTGATGAGAAATGCAGAACATTTTATAAAGTAATAACTTATGATTAATAAGTATTTGTATTTAATTTTAAATAAATTTTTAAAAATGTAATATACATTACTAAACTTTAAATTTGTGAATGTTAAATGATATTTTTACTTAGCTGTAGTGGTAAAGCATAACTTTAAACTGACCAGTAAATCCAGAGCTGTTTGTCAATCTCATTGTCTTTCTTCTTTGTTACAGAGTGAAGATGATTCAGAGAGTTCTGGTAGTGAGACCCCATCTGTCATGCCAAATGTAGAGAGGATTTCGAGTCCACCTTTGACAAAGCCTGACAACAATTCTGAGAAGGAAAACACTTTCCAAAATTATGTTTCTCAGTCAAAGAAATGTCCAAAGTACAAGAGAAAATGTGAAACTGCTGTGGAAAAAATGGATCCTGCCATCAATACCCAAAACGATTACGTGCATAAGCGTCGGTGTTCACTTTCTGTGAATAAAAATTTGGATTCTCCGAAGAAAGAGTCATCTCTTTCAGATGAAATAGTATCTGGAAAGTCTGTGAAGAAACACAAATCTAAAAAGTCAAAAAACATATTTGAAACAAAAGTTTTCAAAAATAAGAAAAGTAAGATCTATTTATATATTTTGCATGTTTTACATGTTTTTAATGAATAAAATACATTATTATGATTTAGAATAAATTTTACAAAGGGATGAGTGTTTGGGGGGGAGATTATAACAAATATGTAGTGAGTGTATCACAAGCTAAGTCTCTTAATTGTGTATCAAGGTAACAAAAATGCCTGTGTTTTTTTGGTATGTCAAAAACCTCTTTCAGTGTAGAAGTTATATTCCTTTAACTTTTTCTTTTAATCTGGTTCCAAATAATTACTCCGAGTCATAGACCTTTTATTATCTAAAACTCGCAAGGTGGGGTTATGTTTCATCAATACAACAAATTCATAAAATGCGTTGAAATTAGAAAGAAGCAATATCTGGATTGCTTTGGAGAATTCAGCTCTTAGAACCTGCTTTTGGTTGTGTTGTTATGATTTTCTGCATCTTAAAACTGTGTCATTTAAGATCAGCTTTCACTTCAAGATAGAGAAAGATATTCTGCAAATACACATTTTGTATTAAGTTGCTTGCTGGCTGTTGCAATTGTTCTGAGTTCCTTCTTTTCTCTGTTCATTCATTAAATTCATAACAGTAGCTTTACTGAAGTTCAGAAATTAAGAATGAAATGCATAAGTTATTTTATAACAAACAGCCAAAACCAACTACAAGACCACTTAGTCAGTTGCCTAAGCATTTCAGTGGAAGCTATTGCACATAGTACATCAGTGTTAATGATGTTAAGCTAATGTCACAGTGCCATATGTCCTACATACAACTCTATAGACAGCATAAATAACCACTAGATAAACACACTTAACCCAGAGTTGAATTTGGGGGAAGTTAGAAGAAAGTTGAAGCATGACTGGTGTGACCATCTAATGCAAACTAGCATAGTGTTATGTCACAAGATCGGACAGCATTTCAATCAACAGAAAAAGTTAACTGAAAGTATACAAGTGGTCATCCATCAGCAACTGTGATTAAAGGTCTGTATACCAAGGATGAACATTGATAGACCCAAGATTTAAATCATAAGAGAAGTGCAGCGAATGCCAAAAACAGAAGTGGTTTTCTGCTTTGCGATCAGTATAATATGTGTCATTTTTGCCTCATTTTTGCTGAATGCTTTCATCAGTGCCTACCCACCGAATGCTTCATCCAGTCCTTTAGTTAAAAAGCATAACAGCAGTCACTAACAATGACTCCATAGCTGTGCAGTCTTGCTGCACTAGAAATGGATTATGAGATCTCAAGAGCTTGTTAGCATCCTATAGTCTATTACAAGGGTTTTCAATTTCATAGTTTCAGGGGAGGAATGCTCTCAGTTTTTCGTTTACCTGTTAAGTATTTAGTTTTAGTTTATGAATATAAAAAACTACTTTAATTAAAGTTTTGGTATTTATTAACACTTTTTGTACTTTTTTAATTTATTGAATGTATTACAAAATAACCTAAATTTAAATAAACTGAGTTTTTTGGTGAAGCCATCGAGACAGTATATTAGTACAAGAGCCTACTGTAGTACTGAAGGGCCCAGGTTCAGATTCCAGAGAAGGCATGGTTATAACTGTCTGTCCCTTCATACTGCCTGTTTAGTGCCCCTATAATATAATGGCCATCATTTTTTGTCCTTAGGAATGGCCAGTGCCAAAGAGGCAAATGCCTGCTATTGAATTAACCTCTTAACTGCCACGAAAAACATACAAGATTCATTTCCCGGTGCTACGGTTTTTCACGCACGCGCACATAGTTAACATAGTTATGCGATTTATTAGGGGAGAAATAAGTGCAAGTTTTACTTTCTAAAAATTGTTTACTTTCAAAAATAAAGAATAAAAGAAAAAAAAATGAATGCACAAAATTTAATGTTTTGAGTAAAAGTATAATAAAAAGATGTAAGTATAATAAAAATGATGTTTTTGTAGTAAAAAAGATCCCTAAAATGGAGTCTCGATCAATTCATTTTTAGACCAGTAAAGTGTAATATCAGTTTTCAGTGTTATACCTTGTGAAATCAGTATGCCTATAAAAACATATATTTCTTCTGAATTGGTTGAATGCCACGATTTTGTTCTTGATTTTTCGTTTGCAATGTGTTGGTTCATATACTCGTCTACAAAACGGTTAGTTTGAGTAACATTATGAAGCACAAGCAGTTCATCAAAAAATAATTCAAAAAATAAATAAATGAGTTTGAAACATCTGTTATATCTTTCTTTATTCCTGGAACCTACGACAAAAAGTAAAAGTAAACGAAAACGGAGGACACGGAATAAAAAAAAAATTTTTTTTTACTCAAACAACACCAGCCAATACCACGCAGTCATTACTTTCACCACTTTAGACATGCCCTTCTCTCCAATTTCTCCCCACACTTCTCTGAAATAGTATCCTGCTTCACATACTTTGTCAAGGTCATTGTGGTGTTGCATTCCAAAGCTTTGCGAATAATTTTACGAGTAGCAGTGCAAAGCAAATAATAGTAGTTTGGAAGGGCATGTACATTTTTTACCTTCGTTTTAAAATATGAGCTTGTGGAATTTGCCAGCCGTGGAAGAACCGCGGTTTCTGCAGGAATACAGAATTTTGCTGATATTTTTTCTAAAAGGAACTACGTGGAAATGCACTTTCCTTAGATAGCATGTGTCGCCAAGGGTTGCACAAAGTCAAGTCTCCGCAACTGTCTGATATTTTAAAGCGAAAATTGATTATTATATACTTCAAGAGAAGAATGGTGTAAAAAAAAAAGATTTGAAGAAGAATGTAAGTGTTTTATTTTTTAATATATCTTGCAATCCTTATTTAATAATTCAAATTTGTATTTTAAATTGCTAAAGTATGTTTTCTTTTTTATAAGTTGATCATGTTTGTCGACTTACGGTAAATATCAATAGTTTGGGAATCTTTCTTTAAAAAGCTTGAAAACCACCAACTTGTTCCCGGTAAATAACTTTTAACTTTTAATCTGTAAAAAATCTCCAAAGTGGCTATGTTAATACGTAAGTACCTTTCCCTCATTTACAATTCCCACAGTTCTGTCAGTGCCACAAGACAGAATTTTCATACTGTATTCAATACTGTAGTTACAAGGCATGGTTTGAGTGAATGGTTTTAAAGTGCCTATTCTAAAGTAACAGTCTGTAGGAGAGAGAGTGCATATTTTGCATTGCATTCAAGAGTAATCGTGTATACTGAACTGGAAACTATTTTTCTCGTGTACTGTTTCTGTAAACATTTATATCCCTTATCCTGCTATACTCAAAAGTTCACCTTTGCAGGGATTCCTTTCTTGGTTAGTGTTATTTATCATAATGCTGCATCTCAGTGACGGTATCTGTTAAATGCTTTGATCTGAAAAATTGCTGTTTGAGTTGCATGTGATAAACCTGAAATGTCCTTAATTTTTACACATAAAATCAGCTACATAAAATCAGATAAATGATTTCAGGTTCTTCTCATGAACACCTATTACTTCAAAGGAAGCAAAATGAGGTGTGTCAATAAATGTTACCGTAAATTATTGTTTTACAGCTTCACTGGAGTTTATTTGAAAAATAGTTCTAAAACTTTGTCACTACTATCCAGAGACCATTACTATCACTACCATCTTTGGATAGCACTACCATCTAGAGAGAACAAATTTAATTGCTAGGCTTATAAAATTTTTAACTCATGTATGCATGTGATTTCTCAGTTCATATTGCTCTTAATTTAAGTCCTGCGACCTTGTAACATATGGATTTGAATTTTTAATTTATTATTGTATTAATCTCTATCTAACGAATTCCACAAAGTGGGTGAAAATATGATTCACAGATACTATCTCAAAGAAACACTGTTCAGTTTCTTTGTTTAGATTTAGATGCAGGGTAGAATTTTTAGAACAAGATTTTTGCAGTGTAATGTAAATTTTAACTACACTGGTGTTCAAAACTTAAGCAACAAGTGTTCTTTTTGTGATAACTCCACGAGAAATCATCTGAGAGACATAAAATTCAGAATGAGAGACAGCATTTTGTATTTAAACGATAACGTAAGCATAATTGCGCAAAAATGAATACAATGCATACAGTATAAAATCAAACATAAAAAGGCTTTCTTTACCTCGTAGTATCGTTACACATGATTGTCTGTACAAGAGGAAGAACAACAAGCAGATGTTTCTTAGTATGAGATATGCCCTCCCCTTAATGGTTGCTTCGCACCATCTCTCCATACTCAGCACTAGATTGCCTAACAGATCTTGAGGTAAGAGTGCTCATTCCTCAATCAGCATGTTTCAGATGTTGGCTGTTCCCCAGAGAATGTAATCATGCCACAGGGTGACTCCCTAAAGCATTCCGCACATGTTCTATGGGATTTAAATCAGGAGAGTATGCTGGCCAATCCATTCGAATGATATCTTCACTTTCTAGTGTCTTCTAAACAGAAGGAGTTTGTTGTGCCCGTGCATTGTCTTTCATAAAAAAGGAGTCTCCTCTAATGGCACCTCAGAACAGACACATATGGGAAGGATCACCTCCTGACAATAACGATTTCCAGTTACAGAACCTCTGTCGAAAACATGAAGCTCTTTCCGCCCATTCAAGCATAATGCCTTCCCAGACGAGAACTCTAGGACCACCGTAACGGTTTCTTTCCGCGATGTTACTGGGATGAAATCATGTCCCGACCTCTCTTCAAATCAATTGGAATTGAGAATTGCTTGTGGCACTAAAACAACTCTCATTCGTAAAAGAGGGCTCGACTCCATTGATGAGATATCCAGTTTTTGTGCTCCTTGCTCCACTCTAAACGGTGGTGCCGATGGCCATCTTTTAAAGGGACGCAGCGTTTAAGATGGTGATCGAATAGGCCATCTTTGTGAATACGTCTGGACACAGTAAACTGCAGCACTTGTTGCCCCGTTGCTGTACACAGTTGCTGAGCTATGGGGTTTACTGACTGGTTTCGGGCTCTTTTCACATGCAAGATGATATATCGGTCATCCACAGCAGTTGTTTTCCTGGGGCGGCCACCACTAAGTATTCTAACAATTGTACCTATGGTTTGGAAGGCTTTCCGAGTGCGCAAAACGACACTTTTGTTGATTCCGAACTCTTCAGCTACACTGGCCCCTCTTCCAGCTTTCCAATCATTCTTTGACATGTGAAGTCATCCAGGTGATTTCCTTTAGCCATACTTCACGAAAGAACTCACTTATACTTGCAGCTAATATCTTTAATTGCGTCTCCATCGTTCCTTTTATTGTAGCCTTGAGTTGAGCGCCCGATCGCACGCGTTTTGCGTACGCTCACGTGGCCTGTGACGTTTTGTTCCTGACATTTGCATACGCATGACCTTTCTACTGAATTGTGTGTCCATTGTACTGATCGTAAGATCCTCTTTCCTGCAATTTCATGGTTACCTAATAAAATTTTACATTGTTGCTTAAGTTTTGTACACCAGTGTATTTTCATTATGGGAGTGTGATATTAAAAAGAAAGCACAATTTTAAAATGTGTATTTAATTTTTTTTAGGACAAACCATACAGTGTATGGCAGTGAGAAATTGTGATATGCACTATGGCTGTTTTATAATGCATAGATTATTTTATTTAAAAATATTTACCTTTTTTTTTATTGTTATATAGGAAAGTACGAGAATAATCTTCTCAAGAAAGTAAATAAAATGAAAATGAAGCGATTAGGTCGTAAGAAGAAGCTGTCCAAAGAGGTGAAAAGGCTTGCTAAAATACTTAACGCTAACCCCAGTTTAATAGCTTCAGCTTCAAATAGGAAACTTTTAAAATTAAAGAAGAAGAACAAAGTATTAAAAAATCTGAAACCAGCAAAGTATGGAATGAGGCTCAGACATCAGAAAATAGCATCACGAAAAGCTAATATTGTAGAAAAAGACACTGTTACAAATCCTATGGATTCAACCAGTTATTCTGATGATAAAGTTCAAAACAAAGAAATCTCTGTTGTTCCTTCTGTAACCGCTGAAAATGACATTAATATAACTCCACCATGTTTGCTGCCAGCCACCAATTCTGAAAATTCCCTTGACCAATGTGCCACAACTTTGGGAGACCCACCACCACTTCAGGCTCATAATTTAGACAGTAAAAACGATCTGGATTCAAGTAACTGGCGTTCTCTACCAAGGAGAGCTAAAAGGTTTGCACCTTCATCACCCGTCAAGAAGCCGCCTAAAAAGAGGGGTCGACCAAAGGTATGAATGCATGGTCCTTACATAGTTATTTTTTATATGTAGATGCAGGGTAAAAATTTTTAGAGCAAGATTTTTGCAGTGTAATGTATATTTTAACGTTTTCATATGAAAGATGCATATTATAGCTTTTCAAACAGAATGCTGGAGCCAGCTGCTCAGCCATTTATCAAAAATGCTTTTCGATCTTTGAATAGGTGTCAAAAAGCTTATCAGCCACCAGATGTAAGTGAGTAATGGTAAGCGTACCAGAAGCTGGGTGGGTAACTGCTGGACATTAGTAATTGAACACAAATTCGAATCTTGCCGAACAGGTTGGCTGCATATGCATTTTTGTGCTGTAAATATGATGCAATTTTTCTTAGAAGTTCTTCACTAAGGCATCCTTTCCTTAAGCAAATAGCCCTAATGCACTTTTCTGTAATCTGATAAATCTGAAATCAGTAAATGTTCAGTGTGATGTCTTACCTACAACTTAAACTACAGATGTTTTGTTCAACATCTGTAGTTTAGGCACTATAAATCTTACTGTAACGCCAAGAATTTAGACTATGTATCTAGGAAAAAAAAAATGGCAGGATTCTTCTTTTAGTACTTTGAAATAATAAGAGTGGTTTCTTTTTTAAATATCATTTGAAAATTCAGATGTCAATAGAACAATGCCATTTAAAAGTTTCCTATTCTTGGCTCATAAAATATCATGAAAAGTATTTCCTTAATTATAATTCAAAAATCCCCTTCTTATTTGGTTCCTGTACTCTTTTTCTTCCAATGTATTGTTTTAATGGTTTGAACACATACACAACTTCTCGGTTTGAAGGGCTAATGGCAAGAGGAAAGGAAATTGAAGTAATCTGAAATTATTACTGAGTTTTGAAACAGTATTATAATTTCAGTGCACAAGTTAGTTTACAAAGGGTTTTGCAGTTTTAGAGGATTTAGAAATAAAGTGTTGGCCCTCTAATGCCACCTTGATCGGTATAGTTTTTAGCGATATTGATTACTGTATTGTTGAGCTCAGCATCGAATCTAAGGGTTTTTCCAAAAACCGGTTTTTGATTTTTTGTGAAGAAAAATAGTATAGATAAAAATGTTTAATTTATATAAAATAACAAAAACTGAAATCAATATCAAAGTTAAAATATTTAAAAAAAAAAATAAGGATTACATATTACTTGCACAAAATAGAAAATAGTGAAAACTCAAACATTTCAAGTAATATTTATATTAATTTCACTTATTTTAATTTCTCCTAAGAAAATAGGATTTTAAAAAAAAAACATAAAATATCCACTGAATGGTGGTAATAATAACAAGTTCTTATTTTGGACACAATGTTGCCTGAAGTTTAAAATATGCTTTCTCTAGCTACTGAGCTTGATTTTATAGTTTTCAGGGCATCAAATAACAAATCTAAGTTTTTTGTTCTTTTATTCATTATCTCAAATACTGAAAATTCAGCTTTCAGTGTAATTTCAGTGGATTTGTAAGTTTTTCTCTAGGGTCTTCAAAAAACTTATGAATTGATCTTTTCTATGGCTTCTGTTAAAAAAAGCATTACTATGATGAGTAGTTTCTTCAATTTGCTCTTCATCAGAATCAGTTTCCACATAAGAATTTGGAAGTATTCTAAACAAGATCTTTCCAGATAACTTAATAATTTCTATTTTTGAAGCTAAAGAAAGTACAGTAGATTTCTTCGCTGAAATAGATATGTTTTGTGGATTTTGCAAATACAGCAAAAGTGTTGCTAATTCTACTTGTCTTCATTTTTGAATTCGTTCCTCTAAAGTATATAATACTGTCAAACTTACTTCAGCATTTAAATTTTTTAGTTTATTTAACAGAAATTCAAATATACCTTCACTTGTTATTAAATTAGCATTTTGTTGCCTTAAGCCTTCAGCTGTTAGAGATATCGATCCCAAGACTTTATGGAATTCTAAAAGTGCAGGATATATAAGAAGAACCAATATCATTCAATGCTAAAACAATACATTCTTTTACTGCCAGAAATCTTCCAATCATGTCACCCATACTATTTCACCTTGTTTTGCAGTCAATAATTAAATTTAATTCCTTTCCTTTTTCTTTCTTGATATAATAATACTGAAGAATGGTGTTTCTTACCGGAGATTTTAAAATTTATTTTTACATAAAATATCAATTCTTTAAACTGGTTTTCGAATGTGACAAAGTTATTTTAAAAACCGGGTTTGGAAACCTGTCAAACTCTATTCGAATCCCAAAGAAGACATGAATGTTTGTTGTACTGCCTGGGGGCACTTAAATACTGGGGAGCTGAAAATCTTGTAGAATGATTTGGTGTATGGGTATTCTTTATTTAAATTTGGGCAGAGCTATACAGTTAGTGTTTGGGGCTGTACTTATAAACAATCTGTAGTGAAATTTTGGTGTTCTACCGACATCTTCGGTCCTGTCCGTTTTCTGGACCATTAATCTGCACCTGTATTTCCAAGATTTAGAAGACATGGTTTTTAGGTAACTGCAGTATTTTGTTCAACTGCTTTTCTTGAGTTCTGCTTTGCTTTTGCTTTTCTTAGTGCATTTAGTGTGTTAGGTCAGTATTTGAGAAGGACTTTTTTAAAAAGGGAAAATAGTCCATTGGTGTGTGTTTAAAAGCACCATAGTCCATTGGTGAAATATGACAGAACTCTGAAGAGATCTTGAACAAAAGATGTAAATCTCACAGCTGCCTGTTCTATTATTTTTTCAAAAAAAAAAAAAAAAGCAGATTTGAATGTTTGATTGTTAGCATTATTGTAATTAAGTTATTCTGTTTAAGGACTTTATAAAGGAGATTGAATTTCTTTTTCTTTAAATGGAAAGGTTAAAACAATTTGTTAATTAAAAGAGTTCCCTGCCTCCTTTTATCAACTTAAATTTTCCATTATGAGAAGCAATAATCTGATTTATTTTACCTATTTTTTTTATTACAATCATTTAGATAAATGCATACTTCATCAAAATTCATACCCAATAACCATTTTTCTTGGGTAATTTTGCTGAAATTTCTGCTTTCAACAATGTGTGGGGTTAAATTTCTCACTTTTTGGCTTTAGAGAGTTGAATAAAGATAATGTTATCTTAAAAAATAAATAAATAAAAATTCTGAAAACTTTGAGATTTTATATTATGCCCAAAGGCGCGTTTTTGTAACGTTTTGCATGTTACCTTTATTTATTAAATATCGTGTTCTTTGCACTTAAACCATAAAATTCAATTCAGCAGCAATATCACAAAATAATTTTTAAATGAGGAAAGCTTTAGAATTTCCGACACAGTCTCGCATGCTGGAGAAAAGTGGGGTTTTTTTTTCCCCCTCCTCCTCAAGTGTTGCCATTTTTAACTTTGAAATTGTTGAGTTTGTTAATCAAAATTCCATTAAAAGTGTTACAAAATATAAAATTGATAATAAGACAAATTTCAAATTCAGACTTCTAGATTCGGTGGAAGAATTCGCTATTCAAAATTTGATGGCTCTAGGTACCATTGTTTTATCTTAATGCGAGAAACGTACATTTATTTATGCAGATTCTTCATTACTTAATTTCTTTAAATATAACACAGGTGTATAATATTTAATGGCCACAATTTGAAAAGTGAACCAACGCAAAATGCCAAAACGGAATTAATAGTCCTTTCAGGGCTAATTCACCTTTGGACTTAAAAAAATAATAATAATTAAATAGTAGCAGAAGTATGTGCTTTTAATACCCTTTTTATTCCTGTTTCTCATTTAAAGAAACAAAAGTGCCTTGTGGTTTTTCTATATATTTGTGCATTTAGAAATCTTAATTCTCTGATTCGCAGTCTTCCTAACTGCAGAATAAAAGATTTTATATTTAGAAAGAAAAATGGAAAAGCGTCTTTAATTTAAATCTTGGCTATCTGTGTCATTTTAAAGCCGACAGTATTTAAATACATTCAATGTTAATTATCTTTAAGAGATTTCATTATAAATTGTCATCTTTTGGAATCTTTACTATAGTATTATGTTCCACACAACTCACTTCTAATTTAATTATGTAATTATCCTTGCTTTCTTTCATATTCTTAAGGTATTATTTGCTTCCTTGACTTAGGTAGAACCCACTCACCCACAGTAGTGAAACTGTTATTATTACCTTATTTGGTATTTTTTATTTGAAGTACATATCTAGAATCTGTGTGTAAGGAAATGATACCCATGAACTCAACTGCATATTTCGTATGCATTGTTAATATAAAGTTTCTCATCTGAATATTTTGTGGTATGCCCATTTAATCGTGATTATTGATTATATTATTATATCATTTTATATCAGTATGCTATTTAATTTCAAAAATTAATTAATACTGTACTTTTGACAGGCTACAGAATCAGCTACTCCTCCAAGTTTACTTAGTAGTCCTGATAAAGTGTCTGATAGTGTTACTGAAGAAAAAGTAGTTTGCAACACAGAGTTACACATTAGACAAGAAAATGCAAACTCTGAAGGCACAATTGAAGCAAAATCCTTGAAACGGTGCGAGATTCAGATAGCTGATGATGTGGATGAATCTGCTTTTGTATGCAATAGGCAGTCAACTTCTGTCGATACTGCTGCAGTAGATAAGGGCATGGAATATAAATCTGAAGAATCTACTGAAATAAATGTAAATGAAAGCAAAGAAAATATAAATCTTCAAGAAGACTGTGCAGAGAATGAAAATTTAAAACATGAATGTGTATCTAAATTTCAGGAATGCATAACTGAATCCAAAGATGATAAGCATTCACCTGCAAAAAACTGTGATGAAGAACCAACAGAAATGCAAATTGGCACAAATGAAACCATCTCTGAAGTGGAAGAGGTTAAGCAGAGTCCATGTTCTGCAAGTCCTGACAATATAAACACTTCAGAGCAAGAACCTGTTTGTGCTGGGAACAGATTAGACACTGAATGTGAATGTGAACACAGTTCAGATAATAATGAAGTATTTCAAACAAACAGTGATCCTGGAAGTTCTGACATGAAAAACAGTGAAAATCCGACATCAGAACATCTGTATTCAATTGTCGATACTGCTGATTGTAATAATGATGTTAAATTATTAGTTTCTTCATTATGTGAGCATGTTGATCATGATAATTCACATAGCCTTGTATCAATTTCACAATCTCTTACTCTTCCAAATTCCACATCTCCTAAAAATACTGATGCATCAGATCCAGATTCCATGGTGGCTGATGAACCTTCACAGAACACTGAGGATATTCAAAGAGGAAACGCCGATGAAAATGTTGGGAATTCGGTAAATGAAGGTTTTAATGATTACAATTCATGTTCTAGTTATCATTCTAGAGAGGAAGATAATGCATCTGCTATTCAGATGCCTCTCACGCCTCAGACACCTGCTTCTAACCATTCTCACAATCAAACTCTTCCTTCTGAGATATCTGGTGATGAATGCCGAAATTCTAGTGAAGGTGAATTTCCCAACAATGAAGGTGTTCTTTCACCATCATCTGTGAGCAAATCAGAGTTATGCCATATAAAAGGTAATGAAAGTGTGTATGAACATTATCAAACTGAAGATGATATGAATGCAGAATTTGAAACACAGTCTCCTGCAGATGATCAGGGAACAGAGAGCAGTCATTGTTACACTCGTCCAGCATCTGCATCATCAACATCTGGGTTGCTGAGAAAAGACACACCAACTCCTGATATGGCACATCTTGGAGTATATACTCCAGATTCATCTACCAATAGTGGCTTCAATTCTGTTGATGTTGATGTAAATCATTTAAACCTTGAATCTCCATCATCTTTAAACAGTAATGAATTGCCTCAACCAAATTCAGTTGAACCATCTCCTCAGACACCGACACCACAATCTTATGTTGATTCATTGCAGGTGTCAGGATCATATTGTTCATCTGAAAGGGAGAGTGCACATAATGTGCCAATTACCACAGGTATAAACACACACACTGTACGTAAAGCTGCTAACTGTACTACTGCTCCTTTGAATTCTAGTTCTTCCCCAGTGCATCAGCAAGTACTGCAGCATCCTCACCATCACCAACAGCAGCAGTCTGATGCATCATATTCTCATCATCCAGCATCTGCAGCATTATCAAATATGGTAAATAATAATACTGTGGGAACGCTTTTATTGGGTCAGACGCCACCCATTCCATCAAGTAATAATTACCTTAGCACTGTAAATATCGGAATTCCTGTGTCAACACCTGCTGCTCCACCAGTAGGTGGCTCTTATATGGTAGGTGTACCAATAACATCTGTGATTCAGCCTCAATCATCTGTATCTCACCACCATCACCAATCTGCAAATCAAACTAGTCATGGGTCTATGCAAAGGTTAAGCCACATTTCTTTGCCTACTACTACTTCTTGTGCCGCCGCATCGCCAGCATTTCATTTGCAGTCTCCAAGTTACAGTCACACAAATGCCACACCCAATCAAAGCACCAGTTGCAGCTTAGCTAAACTGCAGCAACTGACCAATGGCATTGTAGAAATAACTCCAAATCAAATTCCAGGTTATGCATCTATGACTCCACCGCCCTCTTACAATTCACCAACTCATCAATCAACACTGACACCACCACCTCAGATGCAGAGGCCAATTGCACCAGCAGTTTCTAATCTCCAGTCACAACCTTCATTGTCTCCTAATCAAATGCATGGCTATGCAAACTATAATCACCGTTATCACCCAAGGCAAAGGACTTCAAATATAGCAATTGCTCCCAATCTCGTTGCCAGTTACCAGACCTTAAATGGGGTTGGATATCGTATGCAGCAGGCACCTCCTCTTGGAGGAGGAACTGCATTGTTAAATACTACAAGCTATATTACCAATGCAGGGTTTATTAATCCTCCATCTCCAGCTATGCAAATGGGTGTTGTCAACATGCATCCACAAGGTCAGTATCAGGATGCCATTCAGCAAGTGAGGCCGCAAAATGTGTATGCCTACAGCTACCACATCAATGGCAGTTTGCCCCCACAGGCTTTGATGAGACGGTGATATTTATTATTGTGTGAACTCTGGTGTAGTGTTGAAACTTTAATCTTCAGCTCCGGATATTAAGTAAAATATCTAAATTCTGAAGCCTTATCTCAGAATGGTATCGGGAAGTGAAATCTCGAATTTTATGAACTACTGCTGTTTGGTAATTATACTCTGTTTATTTAAAATAAGTGTCTCAAAATCATTGCTTCTCTTCCTAATTTCAGTCGTAATGTAGAAGATTTACCATGGTAAGGACACAGATCTCCTGCCTCACTTTTATTGAGTGTATTTAGTTTAAACCATAATTATATGAACAGACTTTTTAAATTGTCCATCAAAGGAGAATTTTAGTGATATTATAAATCTGCTATTGGAAAGCAATAATAATGTTTGTTGGGTATGTAAGTTATTATTCGAAGTAGAAGATAGTAGATCAAATAGAAAATAAATATATTAGAATTGAGTTTTTTCAATAAATACTGTTCAGCTTTAGTACTTTAAAACAGTAAAAACAAATTTTTAAAAAATGCATGTCCAGTTAGACAAGGCTGTGTTTTGAATAATAAGGTACTTTAAATCGCATGTAAACAATAAATGTAAAAAACTATGTATCTGAAATACAAACTTATTGAGTAAGAGAAGTTTCAGTTACCTAAATAGTCTGTTCTGAATTCAGGGCAACAGGACAGATGTTATACACAAAGGTAGAAGCTGTGGTGATCTTGAGATGCTTATTTTAAAGTAACAGAACATAGTCTGAGTACCTCAAAAATAATTATATCTGAAGCAATTTTTATATTTTCTAAACCACCTTTAGTTAGAATAATGTATTTTGCAAAGGGAAAATTGTTTATGTATATAAATGTTGATACTGTTTCACGCGCTTACTTTGTAAATATATATATATATATATATTGTGTGTATGTGTACAGTACATCACATTGCCACTGTATTATATGACATCAGAATTGTTATATTTGTATATAATTGTTACTTACTAGCAGCGTTTGTGAAAGTATTGCTTGATATGCGACATTGCATTCGTAACAAATGTATTGTATATTTAGGTATTGAGTATTTTTTAGTTATATTGATTAAATACTGACCAATCTCTGAAAGTTTTGTTTCCTGTGTTGTTGCAAGTGTGTGTAACACATGTTGTGATTTGTTTTTGTATGGTTGTATATTTATATAAAATTTCTTTCTTAAAATCCATAATGTTGTTAAATTTGTAATGTAAATTATGAGAATTCAAGAAATACTGATATAAAATTACTAGAACAAATTTCTGTAACAAAAATAAGTGGTTCATGTTTTTTTCAGCTATGGATTTTTAAAAACTTAAGACAGGATGCAATTTTATATTACAATTGTAAATTGAATTGAATTATCAGTGAAAGGGGAAATAAGATTTATTGATCATTTGTTGTATGTACATTAACTTCTTTTACCTTTACTTTAATTCTATGATTATGACATATTTTTTACCTAAACTGTATTTATAATAGTATCTGTATCTAAGATTTATCACTTGAAAGATCTGTAGCAGAGGGCACATTCCACTCAAATTTGTGACCGTGATTTCCTGATTGCAGGTCTTCTTCTTCTTCTTCTTTCTTTTTTTTTTTTTTTTTTTTAACTAGAAGCTTTTTGTACTACTCTGATATGTAGAAGTTGTAAGAGAAGCAGATTTAATGATTAAGTACAATCTAAGAACTTGGTAATTAATACATTAATGTTTGACTTTCACCTGTACTTCAAACTGTGCTCTGTTTGGGGAAGGGATTGTATTGATTGTAATATATCTAGACCTGTATTTGCTATTCTGTGACAAAAATGACTTTTTTCCCCCATGATCTAGAATAATTTTTTAGCTGGATTGCAGTATGAAAACTACTTGAGGTATAAATTTTAAATATAAGAGCTGTATAGTTTAGTTAATAAACTTTTAATATTTATTGATATTAATTACTTGTAGTACTTTCAATGTCAGAACACTTAAAAGTGCATTTTAGAAAAGGTTTTATAATCTTAATGGAGCATACATATAATTATTTAAGAATTTTAATATTTAAAAACAAATGTTAATCTGCCTCATTTTGGCCGTTTTTGTCAGTATACAATTATTTCAAGTTGTTAGTTTTCTAGCATTATTTCCAAAAACATGCCACACATTCTTTTCCTTTGAGCAATATGTTACGTATTTGAAGAAAAGTAACAATGGAGTTAGTTTGATAAGGTAATAAACATTAAAGTTTGTTTTCTTAGTTTTAAACTCCCTTTACCTATACATATACATGCAGTTCTTTTAAGAATATCGTATTACAAATCAAATGCTATTGCCCTTGAGTTGTTGAGTTCCCCACTTATCAAGAACTATGGACTCTTTTACATTGGAGGAAAAATCTTTCTACCAATTCTGTACCTGCACTTCACTTACTGGTTTAATATATTAATGCACATCTTAACAATACATAGGTTGTGGCTTTTGCAATTACTTTAGTTGGTAAAGCTGAACATAAGGGCTACTTTAGTGATGTTTTTATTGCCAAGCAAAATTTGAAATAGTTGTTTGATGAACTCAAGAGCAATATGTAGAAAGACATTTTTTTCTGCTTCATGCAAAGAAGTTTTCACAGTTAAACAAATCAAAAGCTTCAAAATACTGTTACTACTGGCAAGAAAATTGTTAAATCAAGAGATATTCATAAAATTGGAAGATGCAAAAATAGGCTATGAGACACAAAAATTTGTGTAAAAATTGCAGTAAGATAATTTAGATGCAAAGTATAACAGTGAAGTTTGTTTCTAGCATTTGATTCTAAAAAAATATTCTATCTTCTACATTTCATACATCGTTAAGAATTTTTTTTAATTGTCTCTAGACCAGAAAGAACATGCTTGAACACATTTTCAACATATTTTGCTTTAAAATGCTTCTGAATTATAGAATGAGTTAAAATATATTAATTCAAATGATGACTGATTATTATTTTTAATTCCTCATTCCCTAGCTCAGTGCTCCGCAACCTTTTCTCACCTGCGACGCACAAAAAATCTTTCTGGAATTTCGTGGCACACCAAAGAGTTCCGAGTTATCAAGGAAGTGCCGAAAAAATTCAAATGCTGACACACTTACAATCACACACACAACAGTGAAATATATAAAAACATTTAAACTAGACATTATTAAGAGAAAAAATTGTCATTAAATACATGATAAAAAATTGCAAAATGTCAAATACATGTATTTGATTGCGGCACACCTATATCCTACTCATGACAGCACTGCCCTAGCTAATAAATCACTGTCAATAATATATATTTTGCCTTATGTCCCAAGTATGGCTGTCTGACAGAAGGAGTGTCCAAATTACTGTACATTTTTATAATAATTTTAATTATCCGGAGCAAATATGATTTTAAAAAGCATATGAAACTGCATTCAGAAATAGCAGGGTTTGTTGATTTCTTCTTACAGGTATTTTGGGGGGGGGTTCAAAAGTTTGTTTCATTAAAATCATCTGAAGGTAATTAAGTATTTTTTATCTTCATATTTTCAAATTTTGTTGAAACATTGGATTCATCTTTTAAAAACATATTTCCTTCTTGCTTTAACATTATCACTGAAAGTTATATTACGAGTGTCAAAAGTAATCAAAGAATAAAAAGCCCTTACCTTTGACATGCATTTCTTGAATCACTAAGGATTTATTTAGGCTATTATATGTCACTTTTTATTGTAATTAAAAATATTTTTTTTAGTCACAATAAGTATTCATTGTGACTGCTAAAATACCAAAATTCTTTTAGTTCTTGTCCAAGATTTGCTGATTGATGCAGAAAGTAATGTAGTTCTTAATACAAAGTTTAATTTCTTGTATTAAATTAGTTACTGAAATTAGAAATTTGGATGTCTGATATCAGACGACGTGCCTCTGGCATTTTACAGGAGCCAAACTTGGTAACATCAGTTTTTTACAGCCTTTTTCGATGATGTCAACTTTGTTGACGTTTTGCTGCCACGTGGTAACATCAGCATTTATCCACTGCTTTATGTACAATACCCACATCGTGACAACAGCATTTATTTACCATCTTTATGTATGATACCACATGTCAGCAGTAGTTGTAGTATATAACGTTGTTTCATTCTGAAAATAATAAAAAATGTTTCGCATCAAGATTAAATATTGTATATCCTATACCAATGATTGTTTATCTGGCTTGCAGCGTTTATACTTTAAATGATTAAATTATTCTCTCATTCAAAAGCTCAGTTCACTCATACAGTTTGATACGGAAAACTACTTTATGGAACCTCAGCAGTTTTGAAGGTAAAAAAGTCCTATATCTATGTGAGTAGGACCTAGTACTTTAAAGATGATGTATAAGTTGGCTTTCAGGAATAATTCAGAATTAGAAACAGTTTAAACTTTTCGACAGTTTGTTAAAATAATTTAACAAAATTTTATGAAACTGAGAATTTTGCATAACTTTAGTTGAGAAAGTGTAACACTTGTTGAATTGGGGTTCAACTGTATTTTTGTTTGTGATTTGTTCATAAAATCTTATATTTTAGTATGAGCTCTTTTTTTTTTTTTTTTTTTTTTTTTTTTTATGAAATGTACTGCATTTTATATAGTGCAAAGCTGCATTAAAAAATTCATTTCTATCATAAAAAATTAACATATAATTGTTACATGTGAAAACCTGATCTTTTCTTTCATATGTATAAATAATAATCGATGTTATAGTTATAAACTTAATCCATTCATTTCACAGGAATAAATCCTTATCAAAACATACAGAATGCTTAGAAGTTATGTGGATGTGCATGTTATGTTGCATGCGGAAAGCTTATAAGTTTTGTTTTGTTTTACTTGTCAATTTTGAAACTAAATTTTAATGTAGAGAATTTTGAATTACTGTGCAGTTTGATAGCTATAAAACACAAAGGCCATTTTCTCAAACTAATCTTAATTAAGTTTCAAACTGTAATCAAAAAGAATAGCTGAGATGAGTGTATTTGCTTTCAAAATATCGAAAAATTTTTGCAGAAATTTCACATTTCATGTGTTCTTTGTATGACCCAGCAAGAAACATGTCTAAAAAAAAAAAAAAAAAAAAAAAAAAAAAAACATGTATGATTGCTGTCATTTTAAACTATGCAATAAGATATGATGAATTTTTCCCTCTGTCTTATGTAGATGTTAATTTAGTTCAGTTTACTACATTTCATTTTATAAACCTGTTCTCATCTGGCAATTTTTTTTTTCCTCTAAAAATTCTTCCCAAGATGTACAATGGTTATTTTGGCCTTAGGGTTTGATAGAGCATGGTGTTTAGAGATTGTATAGTGGTTTTATGGTATATCAGCACTTAAAATCATTTGAATACAAGTCCTCTTGAAAGAGGTATGCAAGGCTCTTAGTTAAAATTAGGATAAACGTAGGTAAATAGCCCTAAGTTTAAATTAAATAAACAAATCTATTTTCAAGAAATAGTTTTAAAATAATTTCAGAAATCAGAGCATATGTGCTATCTTTCAGGAATTTTTTGTAGTTTTATGATTTTATAAAGATATCAAAAATCTTGGGTATTTGATGAGTTATTGCTGTGTCTGTATTTTAAATGTTCACTTTTAACATATATATTGATTTTACTTCTAAATCAATGCCTTTCAAAAAGAAGTACTATAGAAAATCACATAAATATTCTCCCTTGACTTTTGACTTTTTTATTGGAAGTTTGTAGGCTACGTATACTAGACGGTCAAAAAATGTATCTATTCATATAATATTAATATTATATATTAAAAGTTTTTGTGTTATTCTAGTAAACTCTTTAGCTTTTGCTCTTCAGATATACAGGGTGTCAGTTTATTCTCCGGATAAAGGTAAGGTTTAAATAGTATAGAATAATAAATAAAAAAAAAATTTGCACTTCAACATGTACACCATTAGTTATTCGGAGAATATAGAAGTCTGATCTCGATTTCCAGATGCTATTAAGTACTTACGGAGTCACAGTAGCTGTTTCTGCTGTGATTCAGTTTAATTCTTCAATGCTGCGAATAACTTGGTTCCTCAGATATCCCCAGAAAAAGTGGTTTGATGTCCAGAGAACGAGACAGGTTACTATGCTACCAGGAAAAATTTGAAGTTAATACCATGTTGAGTTGCGAAATTATTTAAGATTCTTTCATTCAAATTTGTAGTTCTTGAATTCCAGTTGGAATATTTAGCATTAAATCTCCAACTATAAGGGATGGATAGTCTTGTGGTGATTTAGTGAAAATCTTCATTTGTTCTATAGTCATCCGACTAGGTAGGATGTAACCAAAATGAACAGTAACATGTATACACTGGTCATTAAATTTGAAAGATAATAAGAAAAAATATATTCACTAAGGCACAATAGACACATGTTGGGATAGTGTTTTTTCTGAGAGTGATCAGCATTCAGTAGGTATGGCTGAAAGGCATTATTTAAGTTAAGGTTAAATGTGGCAAATAATTGGTAGAATCAAGGGAGGTCACCCAAGATTTGAAACGTCAATATCAAGAGTCTGGAGCCATTTTTTAAGCAGTGGGTCATTTGATATGCAGCCTGGTCAAGGCCAACTAAGAGCAACAACTGCATCAGAAGACTGTTTTCTGTTTTCCTCGGCTCGAAGAAACCGCCCAAGGATTAAAAGAGATTTTAAACCTTCAGACTCCTACAGGAACTCGAATGAACCGTTCTACTGCTGTACGACAATTTAACAAGGTTCAACTGTATGCAAGAAAACCAATGGTTTGTGTCCCACTCAGTCCAGCTTCCAGAGGGGCACGTTTAAACTAGTGCCGTCGTCATGTTCAATGGCGCAAGACGACTGGGCCCGAATATTGTTTACTAACAAGTCCAGATATAATATGAACAGTGATTCTAGACATGTTTTGATGTGGAGAGTGGAAGGAATATAC